CAGACGTGCCCGACGCACATCAGTAGCTGTATTCTGACATGCCTCTGTTAATGTGACCCTAGCCTGCAATGACGGCGAGACGGCGAGCGGTCAACTCCTGCGTCTCTTTGAGCCGTGTCGACTGGTATACTGTATATTAGATCGTTGTGGGGAGCTAATGCTTGCGAGCAGTATCACAGCCGACGAAGGAATGGACACCGTTCGTCGGCCAGGTCAACAGTCAGAATTTCTTCTGCAAAACCGAACTGCGCGCATGACCTGGGTGTGAAAGTGGTCGTGAGGTGAGTCGACCGCGGTCACGGACACCAGTCAGAAGTGAAGGCCGCACATGGCCGTATGTCACTAACTGTGTACGCGTCTGAGGGAGGGCTCTTTTGGGCTCTCCCTTGATTAAGCTGTCTCGCTGTGTCTGTATCTCCAGCTAATCTATGTACGCAATGAAGCGGACTCGAAGAGGGGAACTTGGAGATTGCGCGCCAGACTCACAGTCTACAGAGACCCATTGTTTACTGAAGACATGTAATGAGGATAGAGGCTCATCGCAGCCTGCAGACTGTGAATGTGTGCGAGTACCCCGTAAAAGTCCCGGAGTAAATCCAGGCAGCTCGAGGACTATCGTAGGCAAATGGACCCAACTTGATGATTGTCTGCTGGGATTTCGCGGCGTCCTTGTGTAGCATTGATGCATGAACATCGACAAATTCTCAGCCATTGAATGTGATCTGCGGCAGGGATGGATCATGTTGCTTGTGGCAAGATGTAACGATGGAGATCTTCGCGGAGATGCAATGCTCGTCGACTTCGGCGCGATATTGAACAATGAGCCACGTGTTTGTGACGGACGTCGGAGCCGTATGCGTGACTGAAGCCGCCGGCGCTACCGTAGGACGCAACTCAGAATCAACCGCTACGAGTCAGAACAATAAGATCTCGGTGAGTTGCTTATAGTGCGCCCCCTTCTTCTTGTCTGCGCCACGAAAGGCTGATTTGAACGCAAAGGAACGCGACGCCGCTAGGGGCTTATTGTCTTCGGACCGCCTGGCCACCCACGCTAGACTGTCGGACAAGGCGCCTCTCCCCTGGACCCCTTCCTCCGCGTTCGCAAACTCTGTCCAGGGCAAGTGGGAGTGCCACGGACCCGCTGTTCGCGACGCGTGGCGTCACCCAAACGGGGTACTACCGCAGCTTTAATCACCCGCGCGATTCGACTATTGTTCGCTCGGGCGGCCGGCCGTCTGATACCCAGCGCGTATATAAGGCGCAACTGCGCGCTTTCTCACCACTCCGTGCCACCGTGTACTGCGACTTCACCCCCTCGCCACCGCGAAGAACGCGCTTTTCGATCGAGAGAGACGCGCAGACGACTTGCTAGCGCTGAGTGAAGGATCTGATCATGTACGCGTATACGGGACACAATGGGAAGAAGAGGCGGCAGGGTACGTGTCATATGTCTGGATGTTTGACACGCAAAGCTCATACGCGCGCGCAGTGGTTCCCTGCGATTACTGGATTCGTGGCGGGTGCCCTCGGTCGGCAGCCAAGTGTGACTTCGCGCATTCATTCCCCAACCAAGTACGTCCTGGGTATTGTCGCTACTACGCGATGGGCCGCTGCGTGCACGGTATGCGCTGCAAGTTCAAGCACGAATTGCCCGAGGGTGCGTCATCACTATGTCGTCGCGATACCGATCTGACAAGCCGCTCGTAGACCCGCAGCTCCCCGCTCAGTGGAACAGCCCTCCTCCTTCCGCACACCCCGCCATGATATACCCTGCAACGCCCCCCTCTGCCCCCTCTGTCATGCCACTGATGACTCCGCCGCAAATGGCGTCCCCATTGTATATGATGACCCCGCCGCAAATGATGACGCCCGCGTCGTCCATATCGTCAATGAGCTCCCTGACGTACTCGCCCTCAACGGCGACAACGGCGTCCGATGACATGCCCTGGTGGAACGACGAACCAGAGCAATGCGACGATGTGAGCGTTGCTGTGGCGGCCGTAGACGAGTTCGGTGTGCGTATGCCTACAACACAGCCAGTGCCGGCAGTCACGAAGCCGCGACGCACTAAGTACAAGAGTATGTTGTGTTCCTTCTGCGTACCGTTGACGGCATCTGACAGGTTGACAGCGAACCCTTGCGTCTTTTTCTTGTCCACTTCCGGGTGCTCGAGGGGCGACAGCTGTACATTGTCAGTAATGTTAATTTTCTGTGATTTCTTACTCACATTGTATCTAGCCTACACGGAGGAGAAGTAGCACAGGTACCCTCACCAGAGTTGCCGGTGCACGCGCTGCCAGCCAAGCCCTCATCGGCGCCCAAGCAAGAATCGCAGGAAGACCGGAAACGAGAGTACTACCCCGTAACCTGGCGCGTCATCAGCGGTGGAACCAGACTAGGTAGAACAAGTACGTGTCGTCCTCATCTCCTGCAAACCCGCCACTAACGACCCATTTAGCCCCGCCGTCTGAACGACCCCCGCGCCCGCGCAAGGGCAGTACCCGGCAGCGCTTGCGACCCCGCCTGCCGTCCACTCTCGCTCTGCGTCCGTCGCCGCCGCCTTTCTCGCCGCCAGTTTGCTTGCCGCCCCGTCCGCCGCCTCTCGGGCCGCCTCTCCTGCCCGCCTGGACCGCCCCGACTCCCAGCCCAGCCGTCCGTACACCGGAGTGGATCGAGTCACCGCTGCCAGTTGAGACACAGGAGGATGATATCTTCTCAATACCCGTCGACTACCCACCGCCAACGGCGTATTCAGACGACGGCGTACCTCCGAACACAGTTGCGTTCCCAACCGAGGAGGAACGGTCTCAGACACCGCCCTTGCCGAGGCGCCTGAGCCTGCCGGAGACCCCGGGCCGCGCCCGTGCAATGTCGAGTCCCTATGCGGTGAGCCCGCGGGTGACGAGGCGGAGAGTGGAGGTGAGAGCGCATGCATCCCGTGTCTTCGTAAGACTGACCTGCTTTGCAGCGTCTTCACCTGTTCCCTGCCGAGTCGCCGTGAGGGCTGCGCCTCAGCCCCATCCGAATCTTTCTGTATTTGTATCGCCTCTATGCTCTCCATTGCACCGCTCTCTCTACCGTACGTGCCTGTCTTTTATTTGTCTGTCGTTGTTGGTGTTCGTGGGGGGTTTTGTTGAAGCAGCTCTTGCTTGCCCATCGACAGTTTTGGTGTCGAGGAAATAGAGGTTTTTATTTACTTACGCTGCTTGACCTAACGTATGGTACGATACTCTTGGACACGATCACAGTGGACTTTCACGTACACTATATACGAATACGCATACGCCTAGTACAAGAGGGAAGACGTAGTTGACGATGATGAGAATTGGGAGTATGTTGCTTCTCACAATGGGGGACCGATGGCTGATGGTTATGACTTGTCACTCTAAGCGACCAATGGCCAGTATAAATTTTGATTCGCGAGAGGCGGTGAAGTTCAACATAAACGTCCGGTGACCGTGAGATACTAGGCTAAGTCTTAAGCTCTACTCCCAGCCCCCTCCACCTCGACTTCTGGAGCCGTTGCTACTGTATCTGCGTCCATGCTATGCGTACGCCCACCGACTGTATTGTGGCCAGTGCCGGAGAGCTGTGCCAGCTGGCGGATGTTCATCGGCATGCGGCGGTCGCCAGACTTCCGAATCCCGCGCGCCCCCGACGGCTTCCGGACGACTCAGATGACGTTACTCGCGCATGCGCACCGTTCGGCGCGTCGAGCCCCTCGTCTCTGTCAGCGTGATGTCAACTGTTGTCCATCGTGGCTTGCGGCTAGCTTCCGGGACGCCATTCCGACCTTATCTTCCTCCCATCCATAACGTCGTCTACAGACATCGCTTCTCTCACTGCATCCGTCGCGGCAGGCCCCATTGCAAAGTCTCGCATAGCACTATTTCCCATAACAACAGTACCCATCGCACCGACATGACTGGCGCCAAACTTGAAGGTAGCTGCCACTGCGGCACCGTACGCTTCACGGTGAACAGCAGCTCGCCGGTCCCGTACCAGGTATGTCTGCGAATGCGCCGATCGGTCGCGATCCTCATAACTTATCATCCTTCCCAGCTCTGCACCTGCTCTATATGCCGCAAATGTGGCGGCGTTGGTGGCAGCATCAATCTCGGCGGTCACGCCGACTCACTCAAGATCCTACAGGGAAAGGAGGCGATCAGGTGCGCTTTTATGAGCCTGAAGTCTTTGCTGAAAACTGACAATATCAACTCTGTAGCGTCTACAAGGCGGTGATGGACCGCGACACGCCGAAGGAGCACATCGCGTCCTCTGAGCGTAACTTCTGCAGCAAGTGCTCGACCATGCTTTGGCTGTGGGACAAGACATGGTACGTGTCCGCCTTCCTCCTGCGACGTGGTGGCTGACACGCTCGTCGTAATGCTTCTCATATATCTTTTTTCTCCTAGGCCGGAGCTCATCCACCCCTTCGCGTCGGCCATCGACTCGGAGATGACAATTCCGGACGAAATGGTGTGTCCACAGCATGACTGGGTGTCCCATCCGTGTAAACTCATGTCATGTAGGTCGTTGTGAAGGCGGACTCGAAGCCCGCCTATGTGCGTCTGCCTGAAGGCAAGAAGCAAGTCTACGAGAACTACGGGCCGGACAGCTTGGAGGGTTGGCACAAGAAACACGGGCTTTGGGTTGAGTAGAGTCTTGAAGTCCTCGTAACACTCGAATGAAATAAAAAGTTGTGATGTTCGTGAATGCAAGTACAATTGTTACCCCAGGCAGACGTTCGATGACACAGTACAGTGGTGATTCGCGAACTTCGATAACAAGATGTTTGGCCTTCCGCCACGCGAGGTCGTGCAACAAGCTCAAAACAAGCTCGCGGAAGCTATTTTATCTTGAGAGAATTAACCTTTCGGAACCGAAGTTTGACAGGAACTGTCTATAAAACATCAACAAACAGTTTTGGTCGTCCGCGTACGCGTTTTGAAGCTGCCAAAGCGCGTTTTCTGGCCTCTGGACGCAAAAACTTCTGCGTATGACGAGAGTGGGGTTCGAACCCACGCCCTTTCGGACTACGGGCGGGTTCGGAAACCTAAACGTAGCGCCTTAGACCACTCGGCCATCTCGCCTGAAGAACGTAGAGAAAATGGCCTTTTCTATCCCATTTCTGAGGTCTTGGATATTTACGACGGCCTTACGATCGCAACACATGCGCAGGATTGCTCCCCAGCTTGCTGAAGCTCTATCATGCTCTTGCAGCTCGGCATCGCGCGCCTGATGGGCAGCAGACTGGTTGAGGCATACGGCAGCGCTACTGATTCCGAGGCCGCTCGGAACGAGCTCGATGCGGGGCTATATCTGCATTCTAGTAAGTACAGATTGCAAGATGATAGATGCGTCATTTGGAAGAGTATACAGTCCGTATACGTATGCTCCAAGTGCAGGAGGACGGGGGATCAGCGCCTTGAAGTGGCGACCCGCCAAATGGACACAATAACAAAGCCCACTCACCGTGTTCTCTTGCTTTCCTTCGTTCGTGATGTCGTTCGGCCACGCCGCTCCATTGCCACAATCACCAGATTCCTGGGTAGAAAGCCAGTAGAGGATGAAGACATAAACGATGTCACACACCAACGCTGAATAACTTGTCCACATGGCACCCACGCCCACGAGACGATGTCGCTCGACGGGACACCCGTAGCCAGTAGAGAAGTAAAGACAGTCGAACGCGATAGCGGGAGCGGACCTTAAACGAGAGTGCTATCAAGCGGGCTGATGAAGGGTAGAAGGAGCGTCGGACGAGCCCGAGTTTTGTATTCCTCATGGCTTCGAATGCCCCCGGGCTTGCTGCCGCTCTAAATTGACCGTGTTTGCATCTCTGGTCGGCAGAAAGTGGTGATTGGCACGCGCTGCGTTAGAAGGTATGCTCGGTCCACGAGCAGCGCACGCCACAATCGTAGCGCATGGTCCATTGACAGGCAAAGCATGCTGTGGTTATTTCTTGCGCATCAGCGTATGTCTTGCGGGGCAATCGACAAGAATCCCTGGAATTTCGGACTTGCTATTCGGGTTATATCATCGAACTTCAGATTTACAACTTTGGACCGACAGAGTGACGCCGTAGCGCCTGATGAATCTTTTCCGCCAGCCCCTTCGGATTCGTCTGCACGACCTACGAGCGCGGCTTTAGCACAATATGACGGGTGCGTTATCGTTATTGTACGCACCAAATGCCCCGCGTTCTCCACGCGAGACAGGGAGGCGAGGTGCTGTTTGCCTCCGATAGCGTTCGCAATCACGTCGTCCTTCACAAATGCGGGGCTGAGGCAACTCGTCAATATGCGCTCTGGAGCGTGGCTCAGTATAACTCAGAAGGCTTACATGTAGTCATCGATGGCGCCGTAGATGATGTGCGTGGGCACGCGCTTCACACCGTGCTTCAGGAAGCCGTAGCAACGCGCGACACCGAGGGGGTCTTCATAGCTTGCCTGCGAAGCCTGAGCGACCGGTGATTTGAAGAGAAAGATGAACGCGACATACGGCTTCTTGCCGCTTCGGACAGGCGAGGGTGACGCCTTCTGTCTTGTCGGGGTATTCTGCAGTGGGCAGAGAACGCATGCCGTGCTCCTGTGAAAAAAAAATCATTAGTGTGAGGACTTGTACCAAAGGAATGGTGCCTCCCGACGCCCCCGCTCCCAGTATTCAACAAACCGGGGAGAAAAACAATGGAAAGGGGTGGAAATAAGCCAGGATGGGAGGGACGCTGCACGAGGGAAAAGGAGCAGAAAACGAAGGCAGCGGCGTGTTGGAGAGCTCGCGAGACGGTCGGTGACACCAAGATCAAATGACGATATCACGTACCACAAAAAGCCTAAGGACTCTGTCGTCCCACGACTTCCACCCGCGACTCTTTAGGAGCTTGTATGCCTCAGGTTTGCTCGGCCAGACGTCGCGGCGATTGCGAGCGCCATTGACCAGGAATTCGTGTGGTCCTTCGGCCGCTTCACGGTTCATGACCATCGGTTCAACGAGTACAAGGGCATGATATGGGATGCGTGGGAAGTAGGTGAGCGAGAGCTCGAGGGCGACGGCACCCATGCTTTGTCCGATGCCGACAAGGCGTCGTTTGCTGAAGTCGACGTCTACACCAGTCCCTTGTCCAGTGAGAACAAGATGTACGGCACGCGCGTATTCGCTCCAGCCAACTGAAAGGGATATAAGGCCTGTACCAGATGCGGGGAGAAGCTACACGCACACACAGGCTCATAACCAAACTGCAGTTCGCGCTCGTTCAACGCGGCGGACGCCCCGTGGTTGGGGCACTCGATGGCCCACATGTCGTGTATCCTTAGACCGTGAAGCGCATAGAGGTCTTCGATGACGGGCTCCGAGACTTCGTTGTGAAAGCCTGTGGCGTGCGTCCAGACGAGGGTGAGAGCATCCGGCGCGTCAGACGACGCTTGTGGGTCCCAGTACCGCTTGACTGAAACTAGCAGAGGATAGTCCGGTCGAGCATCAAAGGTGTATGCGCGCGACTGGAGGACCATGGCCGCAGGAGGAAAGCACGCCGTCACTGTCCATAGTAACGATAAGTACAGTGTGATTGCAGTGAGAGATTGATTGAGGGGGAAGCCTCTCGCCGGCCCGGCTAAGCCGGCTGCCGACACCGTCGAAATTTCATGCTGATCGGCGCATTGTTTTCTTCCACTGCGCGCGCCGCCGCCACGAACGATGCCGGATGCCTTCTTCGTGAACAACAAAACGCGCAAGCGCAAGCGCACCGCATCTGCCGCGGACCCATCTGGAAAATCCAAAAAGAGCGCGAAGAAGGGGCGCGAGCCCACGTCCTCAGGTGGGAGGCAGCAGACGGGGAAGAAGGGGAAGCGCAACGACGAGGAGCTCGATTCGGATCGCACGGACGATGAGGGGAACATCGATGATCTGGACCTGCGGCAGTCTGAGGGGGAGGAGGGGAGCGCGGACGAGGACGAGAACGAGACGCCTGCGGAGAAACGCTTGCGGCTCGCGAAGCTCTACCTCGATAGCATAAAGGAGGGACTAGGTGCGTAATAAGCATGCATTCAGCAACGCATCTGACATAGAGCAGCGGAGGGCGAATTTGACGCGGCAGACGTCGACAGGGAACTCATCTCTGCGCGCTTGAAGCAGGACGTGCTGGAGCACTCCGGCAAGGTCCATCTCTTCGTGGCCGATTCCGTGCGTCTCCCTACTTTCCTTGTGCTACAAATATTCATATCTAACAGTACGATCTCTCACAACCACCACAAGAGACGCTCAGCACACGTGGACACCGATTTTCCGTCACATCCGCCGTCGCGTCCGACTCTGCAGAATTCCTCTACACAGCCGGGAAGGAGGGCTCGATCATCAAGTGGGATCTGCGAAATGGTGCCAAGCAGAAGACGATGTTCAAGGTGCGCCCTGATGTCAAGGGGAAGGGCAAGGCCGACGTCAAGGGCAAAGGCAAGGCCGTCCCTGACGCATCTATACGGGGGCATACAGACGAGGTCCTCGCACTAGCGCTCAGCAGCGATGGCAAATATCTTGCGTCCGCCGGCAAGGACAGGCGCGTATGCGTCTGGGATGCCGAAACTGGCGAGTGGATCAAGGGCTTCATCGGACACCTTGGCCATAAGGACTCCATCTCCGTACGCATCACGGCCCTTACTTTCTATCTCTCCTTACTCACCATCCCTCCAGTGCCTCGCCTTCCGCAAGGGCTCACACCAGCTGTACAGCGGCTCCTTCGACCGCACGCTCAAGGTGTACGACCTTTCGCCGGACGTGATGGGCTACGTCGAGACGCTCTTCGGGCATCAGGACGTTGTGCTCGCGATCGACGCGCTGCGCGGGGAGACGTGCGTGAGCGCGGGCGGGCGCGACAAGACAACGCGGTTTTGGAAGATCGTCGAGGAGACGCAGCTGGTGTTCCGCGGTGGCGGGCGCAGCCGCATCCGCGACGTGCTTGACGGCGGGCTGCGCGGGGACGATGAGGGCGAGGACGTCGATGATGAGATGGATGGGGGCGTCAAGCGGAAGCAGAGGAAGGAGAAGGATTTGAAGTTTGTGGAGGGCAGTCTGGAGTGTGTGGCCATGGTTGACGAGACGACGTTTGTGAGCGGTGGGGATAGCGGGTGAGTGGCATATCGTTAAGGGTTGGGTGGGGCTGACTGAGACGCAGGTCAATATGCCTATGGTCTACGCAGAAGAAGAAACCGATATTTACGCAACCGCTGGCGCACGGATTGCACGAGACGGAGTCCGCAACGGAAGGCGTCGTGCAGTCCCCGCGCTGGGTGACATCCCTCGCGGTCCTTCCGTATTCCGATCTCTTTGCCTCTGGTGAGTCTTTTTGCCTAACCTTCTCGTCAACAACTCATCATCATTGCAGGCTCATGGGAGGGCTCCATCCGCCTCTGGCAGCTCGATCCCAAATTGAAGTCCTTCTCGCTCGTCGGCACCGTGCCCGCGCCCGGCGTCGTCAACTCCCTACAGCTCGTCCCCGCGCCGAAAGCGTTTCTCGAGCACACGGAGTGGGCATCGGCGCCTTCAGTGAAGAAGAGCGCACCGTCGTCGGTGCTACTGGTAGCCGGCTTGGGGCAAGAGCATCGGTTCGGGCGGTGGCTGCAGGTGAAGGACGGCTCAAAAAATGGCGCTCTTGTTGTGGCCCTACATCCAACAAGGACAGCATAGTGTACATAGCCAGTGTATCTTTAGGTGTGGGCCAGTGGACGTTTGTGCTGCAGACATTATCTCAGGTCACGACGCCGATATGTCGACAATCTACGCAATTCTACAGTACTCAGGCACTTTGGAAGCTTGAGCAAGCTTCTTGAGGCGCGTCAGCACCGGGTCATCTCCGAAGGCACCTTGCAGGAATGTGTCTGTTTCCGTTTTCAGAGAACAAAGAAAATCCAACACTGGAAACACGTGTGCATCTGCACGTGGGATTATCTCAAGCTGTGCTGTGTCATCATCGTGTCCTCCGCTTTGCTCTGCGCACTGACCATCTCCGCGTCGATCATGGCGACCTCGGACGCGACGGCGTCGTCGCTGTCGTCGTCGGCGACGACGTACAAAGGAAAGATAACGCGGTCGTGGCCGCAGC